TTATGTGATATTTTGCATTCTTTCTTTCATACTAATTCTTCTACTCTGACTAGCCATATATTAAGTTGTCAATAGACACATGTGGTAAGTGGCTACCATATTGGACAGCACAGGCCAAAGTCATTCAGCATGTTTTTTCCACATCTGCTTCTGAAGCATTCCTGTGGTCTCTTTCTTATAAGTGAATATTTGCCTCTTGAAGGGGAGTGGAATAGGGAAGTGTTATTGATTATAAAAGTTACTAGTGACTACCAGTCCTACTTAAGAGAAATAAAATCCAACATCCTAAAAGAGAGTGCAGAGAGATACCTGGATTGGGGGGCTTGCCTAAAGAGTGTGGCTCTAAACACATAGCACAGATTTGGATGGGATCCACTAGAAGCTAAAGATGTGTCTTCATCTTGTATTCAAGGCTGTACTGGTTAGCCTATATTGGTTGTTTATGTCTGGTATGTATTTTGGTTGGCCAGTTCTTATGCTTTCCTGGCTGTTAAATCCTTTCAATAACACCTTTGCCTGTATCCCCAACATACCCCATGTGCCTGGCAAATGCTTCGAAAATATTTGTTGAATAAACCAATAAATACATCCCCAAAAGAGAAGTACTAACATATTTTTCTGGTGGTGCATTGGTATATCACAAAGGTAAATGCTATGGGTTAAATGTGTCCCCCCAAATTTCATGTGCTGGAGATACTCTCCATTGTAACAGTGTTAAGAGGGTAGGAAATCCTATTATGGTAATTGAATGGAGGGGCCTTTAAGAAGTGATTAGATTGTGAGGACTGTGCCATGGTGAATTGATTGATGCATTCATGGAGTAAGGGGCATAATTCTGATGGCTTTATAAGGAGGGCAAGTAAGAAAGTTAGCTCTTGCTCTTGCAAGACAGCAAGAGAGCTATCACTATGTGATACCTGCATTTCTGTAGAGAGTCCCCACCAAAAAGAAGGCCCTCACCAGATGTGTCTCCTGGGCCCTGGACTTTCAAGCCTCCAAAACTGTAAGAAATAAACTTCATTCCTTTATAAATTACCCCGTTTCAGGTATTCAGTTATAAACAACAGAAATGGACTAATACAGTCAACATAATTTTATTTATTGGTCCTAGTATGGACAAAATATTATTTATTTCTAATAGAATTTAAACACTGGAGTTGTTTAGTGGCTACGGCCTACCCTGTACATAAATGCACTTTTTTACCTCCATTCACAACTCAGGAGATGGAAGTTCAGCTTGGAGGAGAGAAAAGGCTTGAAGTCTTGCCATGGTACCTGTGGTCTGTAGCAAGTTATTAACTGTCGTTATATATTCATAGAAATATACATTCCAAGCAGCTCGTTCCTTAGAAAAGATATAGTAAACTCAAAAATTATAAAGCTTCACTGCTCTCAAAGCGTATTCTACTAAATGTGCCCATACCTCTTTATCTGTCTTGATGGGCTGGAAGCAGTCCGTTTCATTTGATGGTTAAAAAAAAAAAAAAAAAAACTAATCCTTACCTTATGTATTTTGAAGTGAATCTCACAACATGCATTTTCTCTCATTCTCAAATGTCCTCAGGAAACTGGCTTAACTTAGGTCTTCAAAATAAGAACTACTGTGCCTTTTGTTACATATAGCCCATCTAATTTCACAAAAGTAATTAAACCAAGAGAGTGAAACACATTTTAAATATAGCTTTTAATATCCATCATATTCAAATTATTTGGGTGACAGATCAGATCATATTTTCAGTAAAACTGATAAACACCATTTGGGTGTTAACATGGGACAAGAATGCTAAACTAAACTTTGAGTCCTTTGGCAAGGAAATCTCAAAGATATCATTAATATACCTTCATTGACATGCCATATTATTATACCTTATTCAGAACCACTATCCTTTGAATTTCAGTTGTTTCCAGTAATTGCAAGAGAAATTCATCAGGCAGTACTGGCCTTAATCCAAAGAAAATGGTAGAAAACAAATACTTAAAACTTTTAAGGATAAGTTAGAAATTAAGTGTTAGAAATCTTGTTAGTTCCAACTAAAAGTGGATAAATGATTTTTAAATAGGTTATCTCGCTAGCTTCTCTGTTCTCAATCACTAATTCATATACTATACATGAGTGTTAGACATACAGATTATCCCCTTTCGATCTGCCTAAGAACACAAAGAAAAATATGAGATGGCTTCTGAGCAGATTCAATTTTTTTTTTTTTTTTTGGCTTTTTGGTAGGATTTGGTTGGGGTTGAAAAATGCAATGAGAAAACAAATAAGAGGATTTCTCTAGCTTCTGTTCTAGGCACTGTTCTCTCCTAACATTCTCCCCCTTTGGTGACCACATTCACTCTCACAACTTCAACTGTTGTCTCTGTGCATACATGGCTTCGCAGTCTTGTTCTAGCTTTAATATTTCTGCAGAACTTCACACTTCCTGTGATTAACATCACTATCTGGATAGCCCATCAGTCCCTGAAACCCAGGATCTCCAAAGCTGTATTCATTGCATTTCTCCCATTTTCTTACCATGCCTCAAACCCCACTTTAAACTTGTCATCATTCAATAAAACACATATCCAACACCAACTATTTGCAGCAAGTGCTAGGCTAAGTGAAGAATTCCCTAACTCTTTTAATGGTTCCACCATTCTTTCAATTACTCAGGCTCAAAACCTTAATTTTGGATTGCCCCCTTTCCCTCACTTTTTCCTATGCCCTCCCCCAGCACACCTATACTCATATATGAGTGTGTACACACACACACACACACACACACACACACAAAGCTTGTTGCCAAATCCTGAGATGCCATTTATGCAATTTCTCCTTAAAGAATCTCCTTCTTTACATTCCCACTGCAAATGATTGAGACATTTCTGTGACATCACCCTAATTAAGGCACTGTGTTAGTCCATTTCTGTGCTTATAACAGAATCCATGAAACTGGGTAATTTACAAAGAAATGAAATTTATTCCTTACAGTTTTGGAGGCTGGGAAGTCCAAAGTCCAGGGAACACATCTGGTTAAGGGCCTTCTTCGTGGTGGAGACTCTCTGTAGTGACACAGGATACCACATGGCAGAGAAAGAAAGCTAAGGTTGTCAGTCACTCTCCTTATAAAGCCATCAGAACCACATATATCACTCTATGAATGGATTACTCCATTCACCAGGGCACAGTTCTAATAATCTAATCACCTCTTGAAGACCCCACTTTTCAATTACCATACTAGATTTCCCACCCTCTTAACACTGTTACAGTGGGGGCTAAGTTTCTAATGCATGAACTTCTGGGGATGCATTTGACACATTGCAGCTATTAATTACTTCTCACCTAAATTATTACAATGCCATCTCAATTGATTTCCTTGCCAAATTTTTAGGCCTCCAGTCCATTCTTCTCCACGCTACTACTGGATTTATCTTTCTACAAAGGGTGTATTTATTTGCCTGAAAACCTTCAATTCGCCCCATTGCTATCTAATTAATCTTCCTAAGGAAAACTCTGATCATGTTACTCTTCTACTGAGAAAATGGGAATGCCTCTCTGTTGTCTAACAAATTGAATCCAAATATCTAAGTGTGACACTCAATGTCCTCCACATTATGGCCCTAATTCAGCCTTCCAGCCTTAACTTCCACTATCATCTACACATAGCTAAGCTCCAATGAACCCCAGTAACTTCCTTTGCCTTACATACATCCTGTACTTTACATAATCATTTTGTTCAACCTGTCCTCTCTCCCCACTCACTGCTGTCACTCATCAAAGCCCTATATATCATTTAAGGCCCATCACTAATCCTGCTTCCAATTTTAATCTACTGTTTCTTAAACCATTTATTTTCAAACAAAAACCTCTTTTTCCCCATATGGCAAACATCACACATGTTCATTATAAAAAATATGGAAAATACAGAAATCATGAAGATAAAAATAAAAATCCTCCATAAGCTCCCCATACTGTTAACATGTTGCTATGTATACTTTCAGACCTTCTTCTCTCCAGACATGAACACATGCATTCACGTGCATGCACACACACACACACAATTCAGAACATACTATTTATACTGTTTAGTAGCCTGATATTTTTCACTTGCTTCATCATGAATATTTCCCATGCCATTGCATGGTCTTCTGCAGCATGATTTTAATAGCCACATAATCTTGTATTATTTATTATCTCAACAGCTATTTAATTAATCCCCCTTGATAAATATTTAGATTTATCATAACTTTCTGATATTATTTTTAAATGTAAAAATGGACGGCCTTGCAGTTTGGTGACATTCATAGTTAATTCACATAAATTGATCTATTGGCTCAAAGGGTAAACCAAGTTTTAAGTTTTTTTGATAAATAGTGCCACATTGCTCTTCAAGGGGGTCACTGTATTTTTATGCTCTCATTAAGAGTGTTATGCGTGCCCATTTTCCTACACACTGACCAACAGCGGGTACTTTCTAATATTCTGATAACAATTTGAACCTTTTTTATACTTGTATTACTACCAAATCCCACCCCAATAGGCATCTAGATTTTAATACCTACAGCAGCTATCACAGGGCCTTATTTTACTAGGCATTCAGGAAATATTTGCTGAATTGAATTGAATCAAAGCCATAGAGAAGGTCTTCCATGTTCTCATGACAGCCTCTGCATCATTACTCTGCAGTAGTTTCTATATGTGAGCTTGAGTTACATAACTAAGGGAAATGGAAAAGGAAGTAGTCACAGCACTGAGTAGCTCCATCCAATCCCACTATAATTGGTTAACTAATACTACAACTTCTAATCCTACCACTGAGATAGCTTTAGCCTGAGAATTTTAACAGCTATTTGGAAAAGTCTCTACGTGTATGACATGGGTATAAACTCTCAGTTGCTTGGCCCAACTAAAAGAAAACTGGTCATGACATTTTTAGGTACAAAGGGATTTAAGTGCAAAGGGTTTGGAGACCTTCTCAGTGAGTCTGGAATAAGTTAATGTATGGCTTATTTTCTTGCAGCAGTACATTTGTTCGGCCTGACTTGGCAGTTGCAACCAGTTGAAGGAGAGCTCTATGCAAATGGAGTTAGCAAAGGGAACAGAGGGACCGAGTCCATGGATACTACTTACTCTCCAATTGGAGGAAAAGTTTCTGATAAATCAGAGAAAAAAGGTACAGTGATAAAAATGATTGATTGGTTATTGATTACTTCTCTTCTAATTTGGTCATTAGGACCATATCTGGGGTGGTTTCACTTCACATTAAATTTCATGATCACTTGAAAGAAGTACTCTGCGTGGACAGAATAAATACATGTAAATGTCTCGCAAAAGCAAATTTTCTTTTTCTCCAGTGCCTTGAATATAAACCAATTAAACTTTTCAAATATGTTGGCAATCTTGAAAATAGATAAATATTTACAGAATGGAGGTTTCAATACAATGGAAATTGCATTTCGCATATAACTACCCTGAAGCAACATGGGATTTTGATTAAGTTCTCTGTGTCCAAGCACAGCATTTATATATAACATTTTACAAAGGGTATACAGAAATTTTTTCTGTTTATAAGAAAAAGCCTTTTCTGCTTTATGTAAAGGTGAATGCTATGTCAAAGTGGGAGAACATGATTTTTTTTTTCTAGTTGGGGAAAAGAAAAATCACTTCGAGTCCTGAATTGTTACATTTAACGAAACGTGAGCTTGAACTAGCTGACTTATTTACAATAAATGTCACAGAACCAGCACTCCCAACATCTTATTCACATTGAATGATCTTAGTTTTAATATGCAAGCATTGAAAATAGCTGGAAGTTTGTATTATGACTTCTTTTGAAACAGGATTTAGTACAAAGGGACTCGAGCAATATGAAATTTCAGGAAGTCAATTCAGAAAGTAAGAAGTTGAGAACACAATGTATAACCAGCACTATCCTAGGCATTTGTAGGAGATAAAAATTAACAAATAAATGAATGAATGACCCAAACCCTATTCTCAAGAAGCTTGTAATTTTATCAGGCTGGTAAGACAGTTTTATTTTTGTTCTTTAGTTGCAAATAAGATATTTTGTTTTATAGTTGTTTGGGTTACCACTCTTCACTTCTGTTTTTAATTCTTTTGGGGGGGGTTGTTTATGGGTTTTGTTTTGTTTAGTGTTTGTTCCCTTTGTAAAAAGGTAACTTTACTTTGGACCGTGCATCAGTAAAAAATGCTTAGGGTTCAGGAAAATATTATGGCTTGTTTTAGTTTACAATTCATGATGCAATTTGCTTTACATCCTCATCTGCAAATTCTTGTTTCTAGCCTGGACTGACCTTTCCCAGCAGTTTTATTGTTTCTGCTAAGAGGGGCTGATGGAGAACAGGAGTCAGAGGTGGCAGAGGAAGGGGTCTCAGATTTTTCTCCTCCCTTACCTACTTTTTCTCTCTTACCTTCTCTCCTATTATTTGACTCCTTTATATCTGAAGGTGCAAGAGCCACCATTTGGTATTATCTGCCTAGAAGTTTCTTGCCATTCACACTAAATTTAGAATTATCTGTCTGAGGAAAATGAAACATGCAAGAAGGCAGAAGGTCATTCATAATTAGGATCTCTTAAAATTCCTTTCCCTAAAGAAGGTTGTGATAATGGCTAAAATTTATTAAACAAACACCATGTACCAAAAATTGTACCAGACACTTTGCACGGATTATATCATGAGGGTAACATTATGGACCCCATTTTCTGAATGAGAAACAGAGGCACAAAGAGGTTAAGTAACTTGCCCAAGGTCCCAGAGCTAGAAACTCATAGTCTGATTCCAGAGCGCAGTCTCTTGACCTCTACGCTGTACTAAAATCCACACATGAAACATATATGAAGATCACAAGAGACATTTTACTCAATGAAAACAAATCCCCGAAGTCGACTCATGATATATTCTAGAGAAATTCTATTCATCTGTATTTTAATGTGTTGTGACAAGTTTCATAAAGGAATGTTTTAAGTTTCTGCTCAATTATAACAACAAACAGGGCAAACCGATTTCAATTTAACACTTTATTAAGAAAAATCATTACGGGTTGATGCCACATATACCAAGCTGTTAGCTTAAACTGACTTTTTATGGAAGCCTGAAGAAAACCTTAACTATAATTGCACATCATGGTTCTGCTATATTGTCTTTACTGCATATTACTTACCAAGTAAAAACATAGCTCCTTTTTTATAATGCCATATGTATACTAAACCAAACCTTGCAGAAGGTGTAATGCAGTATAAGGGATATTTTCAAAGGGTCAGCTGTAAACTGTTATGATTTTCTAGACAACACGCACCCCATAAAGTTCTAGAATCTTCTCTGAAATAAAATGTGAAACTGACAACCAGATCATTCTTTTTACATTGTTTTCTTTAATCTCCTAGAGGATTGGATATTGTAGGACTTATAAAGAGCCTGGACTCTGAAGTCAGACAGAACTCACTTAGAATACTGACTGTATCATTTATTGGCTCTCCAACCTCAAGTAATTCACACAACCTTGCTGAACCGGTGCCCTCATCTGTAACATAAGGATGATAATAGTAGTACCTGTCTCATATGGTTACAGTGAGGAGTAAGTGAGACAATGGATGTAAAGCATATAGCATATTGTTTAATTTAGTAGTAATTGGCACTATTTAGCAGTAATTGTTATTGAGCCAAAAGATTGGAAATTTACCTTGGGGTTTTTTTTTTGTTTGTTTTTTCTTTTTTTTAACTTCATTGACATTCTACCACACATCCTGCTTTCACACTTGTATCAACTTTTCTGTGAATGATGACCTTCTTGGTATTTAAATGTTTTCTCGATTTAAAGCTTGGTCTCTCTTTACTTACCAAGTTAACATCTTTTACTTTCAAAATATCATCACCATCATCAGATGATGATGGTTAAGTAGAATGGCACTCTAAAAAAGCCAAATTCTACTGGAATTGGTTCCCCATTAACAGTCATTATATGTATCTGTTTCTCATTAGAAGATAGAATTTTCTCACCACTTAGTTATTCAAATGAAAGAACAGTATTTGATTATAGACATTGCTAAATTGAATTGTTTGGCCTAAAGGTTTCTCTGTACACAGTGAGCTGTTACCTAACTTGTACAGACTATATAACCTACCCTTGTAACAAGTCGCTGAATTTCAGCCAGTCACAGCAGTCAAACTTCAGTCAACCACAGGTAGCCAACTGTTCAAACCAGATTTGTAAGACAAATGCTAAGCTTTAACCAATGGAGCTATCTTTGTACCTCGCTTCTGCTTTCTTTATGTCACATCTCTTATTCTGTTTGTAAATATTATCCAGTCACATGGCAGCCCCAGAATCTCACTGAACTTGTCCTGGTTCTAGAGGCTGCCCAATTCACAAATCATTCTTTGCTCAACCTCTGTTAAATTTACTTTTCCTAAAGTTTTTCTTTTAATAACATTTAGTATGCTAAATTTTTAAAGAACACCCTAGAGTTTCAAAATGACATAAATCACAACCAACCAGAAAAATCTATAAGTTGTTATTGTTCAATAAACACATATAGAATTAAAGGCATTGTACCAAAATAGCCCCTAATTACCCTAGAAGCTTACAAACTAGTCATAACTCTATTTAACCAGTAAATATTATATAACGACTACTTTAAACACAGCAGAGAACATGAACAAATAAATTATTTAGTCCTAGACCTGAGTCATGTAACATCCATAAATAAAATTAAAAGTAACTACAATGCAATTTATCAACAAATAGAGAATATTAAAATCTTTAAGACTGTCAAATGCAACATCCTTATTTAAATATCAATAAAATGAGGTCCAGAAAGGTCAAGATTACATAGAGAGAACTGGAACTAGAACCAAGGATGCCTGGTTTCACATTTTATATTTTTTCATCTGTTTTTGTAATAATGTAACACAAACTAAATATATAAATTGCTGAAGAGGTTTTCAATAAGGAGGTGTCAAAGACAAAAACTGAACAGTAAGAAAATTGATTTTATCCAGGCTATTGCAATAGGGAGGTTTTGCCTTAGTCTCTTATAGGGAGGAGTAGATAAATTACATGTGGATTGATTTACAGGTGGGATTATTTTGCAATCAGGCGATGTCTCAGTAAGCTGAACAGGAAATGTTTATCTCTGTCTAGCTAGTCTCAGGAGAACAAACAGTTCTACTCTCAGCTAATTATTTATGAGAAGAATGGGAAATTGGAGGGTCTGCATCTGGTTTTTCAGCAGGTTCAGGCAATAGAGAAGAGGTCTATGTTTACCCATGTCAAGGCAAACAAGGGAGTCAAGAGAGAGAATAGACAGAGAGCCTTATCTAATAAGTCATATAGGGAAGAGTTATTTTTGTAAGTTTGTTTGGGTATTTTGGTTTGCTTTTTGTTTTTATGCAATAAGCCATTTTCCAGAACACAAAAGTGTAAGAGAATTTCAAAAAAATAATGGTTGGAGGAATTTCTTAACCAATGTTGCTTTGCAGGAGCATAGGGCTCAGGGAGAGTCCAACATCGTCAGTAGTGATCCGAATGAGGATGAAATTTATTGGGTAGTCAAGAGTACTGAAATCCTGCAGGTTAGATGCCAAAATAGAAAACCAGAAACAATGAATTGTAGGTGGGGAGATAGAGAACTAAAGGATACTAAAGGCAGCCTTTATCTTTTTTTACAATTTTACAAAAAGCTGGTCTTGGGAGAAAGTGGCATTTCTTTTAAATTCATCCTACAAGATCTATTTCCACAAACTTGAAGAAAAAACATTTTCTAGTCAGTGTCTGTTGAATATACGAGCATGTAAACAACATACAGCTTATTGATATGACACAATTTATAGCCTGTCGAGAAGATGCTTTAGCCAAGACCAAATAGGGACTATAGCTTCACTTCTCTGTGCTCCAGTTTTTCATCTGAAAAATAAGAGTTGGTTCAATGCTTTGGGGGCCAGGGAAGGGGGTAGTGGGCAGTGAGGCCCTTTTTTGCAAATTAAACCTTGCCCGTATGATGGGAAAATATAGGAAAATGGTCAGGGCCCCTCAGATGTTCAGAATCTTGCCCGGCATTTGAGGTAAATATGCACGTGTGCCTGGGTGTTCCTTGGTTATTGTCTAATGTAATTGCACATGTGCACCCAGGTGTCCTGGGTTATGGAATTAAGT